CGCTACAAGCGCTTCAGCATACTGCTGACTACCTTCCACGGTGGCACGGCGCACATAATTGCCCGATGCCCCCGAATCGATCAAAATGATCCATGGCTTATCATAGCCCTTAACCGTCCCTTCGACGACTAGCAAGCCTGGCTTGCATTCTTGTTCCGTTTTTGAGAGTTCGGATCTCTTTGGGGCTGGGCCCTGTTTACTTCAACCTCCTAGAGGCTCAACAAAACTCAGTTCTTCCCCAGTAGGGCGCCCCGCGCCTACTGGGTTCCGCCGCTTCCCCGCGGCAAACCAGAAGGTTTACCCGTGGGGCGTCGGCCCTTCGAGGCCAAACATGCCTTTCTTGCAAGGCATTTTGCCATCAAATGGCCCGTGCTCTTGCAGATATAACATCTGCGCACAATTTGCTGCTACACAGCTTGAAGCTCCGCTTCTTTATCCTCCACTTGACTACAGTCCATGGGTACATACCCATCAGACGAGTAGGTATAAGTGGCAGGCCTAGCGGCCTTAAAGTTGGTCTGGCATTCCATGCCACTCCAACAGCTTCCTCAAATGAGGACGGCTGAGACCGTGACGGTCACTGCCTCAGGCATAGGGTCTATGACCATGGCAGCAATGAGAGTTCTCAACTCTTGTACATATGCCGCAAGCTCACGCTTGCCTTGGCAACACGCCAAAAACCGCGACCGGTTACGGTGTGCTTGGTTTGGCGGTGTATACTGCCGGGTCATCTGAACTTTCAGATCGGCCCATGTGGGAAAAGCATCTTGCAATGATGCACCACATGTGAATGCCCACTGTTTGGCTAAGCTACCTAACTTTCCCGTGGCAAAGCCCACTCGGTACGGTTCATAGGTGATGTCAGCTATAAACATAGCCGACTCGACCTGTCGGAACCAAAGCATAAGGTTGTCACCTTCTTTGCCGTTGAACTTATCGACTTCCATTTGTATGGGGTTTGGTTTGCGGACCACTTCTTGAGCCATAGTCTCCATGGGCGAAGGCTCAGAAGAAGGCATCTGTGCCTTTACATGCTTGACTAGAGCTTTATTATATTCATCAAGCGTATTCATACGCTTGTTAACCTCTTCTTCGCCCTGGGCGATAAAGTATTCCACGCCCTTAAGGCCAAGGATAGGGAGAAGCTTCTGCAACCCTTCCTGTTGTGCCTGTGACAGGCCAACCACTGAAATCTCATCGATGTCCATTCTCACACAGAGAAGTAGTCGCAAACCCTGGTGCGGGATTGACTACAAGTGCTACCAGGTGTAGCCGAGCTACTGTAGCTATGCTACTTCATGCACTATGTGCAGATGCACTATGTGCAGAAGAAGTAGTCAAACTACTGTAGCAAAGCTACGTATGCACTATGTGCAGAGGAAGACAAGCTCAGAGAGCTTCTACGTCTTAGGGTGTTTAATCCTCCTAGGCTAGCTCGTAAGCTTGTGCCTAACGGTATTAACAACCGAGTCTCAGAGAGAAAAGTATCAAAGATACTGATTCCTATACGGAATAGAACGCTCAAGCTGTAAAGCTTACAGAGCAGGTTTGAAACTGACTTCTATTTATGTTTATCTTCTAACACTAAATAAAAAAGCACCTACTCTATATTTAGTGCTAGTCACTATTACTGGCTCTATAGCCTTTAATTATTATGCAAACATGCATAGTCACTATACTTAAATAAGTATAGTGACCACGTGGCTCTCTGCCACGATGTGACCCTTCGTACTTCAGGTACGGTCACATCACCTACTTTTGTACACAAAGTACAGCCACGCCACATTGGTGTGGCAGGTGTGTATGTAAAATGCACACCTTCGTGTAACTCCGTTACAATGCGTAATAGTAATGATTAAATTGAATAATAAAATGCACATACAGCAGACAGAAGAATTGTGCAAGTTTGAGGTAGTTGAAGGCTCTTAGCAAAAAGGCAACATGTGCAGCCGTAGGAATACAGAGAGAAGGCAATTGACTTACCGATAATGCCATCGTACAGCTACATTCTTCAAAGGTTACATGAAAGCACAAAAGACGTACACATATTGATCCAATATGAAGCTTGCTTAAGATTGCCATATGAACACAGTAATCCTGGTTCATGACGCATTCGACACTACCTTTAAGTTTGCATGACTTCAAAGCAATTCACTCTTATAGATCTACACCCTCCTTCACTTGAACTGTATAAGAGCTGTAAGAACTCAGCTCAACCTGATTTCATATTCATAAAACACTTCGTATTGCTTTCAAACTGTTTCACGCTATCAGCTTTCGATCATTTTGCATGGCATATTGATAGCTTACTCGGCTTTCTTGTCGTTTCGATGTCTTTTGAGGACGTGATAATATTTGTTCGATGAGACACGTACTCTCGATACGCCAATCGACTTCATCCGGGTTCGTAACACACGACTCAAATACCACTCAGTATATATTTTGAGGCTGTATTTGACGTGTTCTTCCGCAGATGCACAACCTTCAAGTCCCTCACAGTTGCAACGTCCACACCGAGTTGCAAATACTCGATCAAAGCATTGGAAGAATTTGCTCCTGTATAGAACTTTGTGAAATGCATCCACTCTTGGTTTTGTTTCTCTCACGAACGGTGGTACATGATGCAAGCAAGTTTCCAATTCTAGAACTCATTTTTCATTATCATGCAAGCTGAAAAATTGAGTAATGCAAAGCGATGATGGCTCTTGACGAGAAGTTGCTGCGGTTGGAACGGAGATCGTAAGACTACATACAATATGAATGACCAATCGTTTTTCGAATTGTAGACATTGGCATGAAGTCAGAGAAAAGATTGAGAATGCATCCAGCTTTGCCGACTTGTTGCTGTCAGATCGTGCCACATGATAAATTGTCTTGGTTTTATGTCCACCATGCAGCAACGAAACTAATATATTCCCAAATTGTCGCGTGGCTTAATACGCAAAGCATATACTTCTAAAACTCTCAGGTATGCCACATTACCAGTTCAAGTGACGAGTTGATCGGTGTGGAGCTCAATACAAGACAGAAGTGGAAGCGCATCAAGAACTAACACATGCCAGACTGGTCGGGTTCACTTATTTAACATATCACCTGACATTCGCCTAATTCAGAGCTCAGTGGTGACTGTAGCTACGAGATCTGGAAAAGTGACGAGTCGTTGCACCAGCACTCCACCAGGTCAGTCGAATGCGGCGGCAGCGACAGCAAACGTAAATGATGACATCGAACAAGATCTACCTTAACATTGGAGAGTGAGGGGAAGTGGCTACTGACGATCTACTCAGAAGTGATGTGAAACTGTGATGCCATAGGGGAGTCTTCCGATATGTCAGTGTGAACAGTAAGTTTAAACGATAAATCTCCTCAGGTTGCATGCAGCTATACGTCCGATACTTACGTCCTCTGAGCGCCATTACTAAAACGAATGAGACGATCTCGGGATAAATAGGTTCGATAATACTGCTTCTTCATGACCTATGAACTTTGATTATTTCCAGACACTACATATCAAAACTTTAGTCTTGCAGATACTTTCGATATGGAGGCACGGGCTTGATCTCGATACTTCGTAGCCCAAAAATTCGCCATTATTCTGACCATGTTTTGGATCACAAGATATTAAGATGGACTTCATGAGATAAGCACAAACGTTTATCAATACACTTCATTAGAGGGAAGTCATTTACGAAGGTGTATATTAATGTGGAATGAACCTGATAACAAGTTGAAACCGTAAAGGACATCGATAACATGCACGCTGTTCACAATGTGGCAGCCGGTTTGTTCTCAAGTTTGTTTTTTGTTGCAAATTGACGACAGTGTATGTAAAATCTGCTGTTGGATGGCTGACTTTCGACATGTATTCATGCACTATGAAAAAATAGTTGCTAACAATTAGCATGTACGAGGGCCAGTCCTTTACACGACGTCCGTGACAAAATCTGAAGTAAGCGCTGTGTATGAAGAAAGCAGCAGTGTTGAGACAGAATAGTCTAAACAGAAAACATGCAGTAATGTTTACAACACGACATCGCAGCAGCAATGCGCGTTTAGGAGTCATAAGCATACGAGTTTTTGCTGTCGGTATCGACAAAAGGTTAAGCAAGTTTCTGGAGGAGTATCGTCTGCAGCTATTTACTAGGAGGCTCTGCCGTTTGCAACAATGGCTTCAATAACAGAAAGGTGCCTAGTAATTAAACACCCACGTTCTTATTGCCTTGAATAGCAGCTACAATAAGTGTGTACTTATTGCACTGCCTTTTTACATATGTACGAGCCGCTCCAAAACATTGCTACAAGTGTGTGATTTGAACCCCAAAGAAGGTTGAAGGGGGGACTTATATTTCATATCGCCGACAAAGAAAGATAATACTCAAACGTTCATCAGTCAATCAAGCGTTTTCCTCTACTATTACATGGAACAAATCGAGTGCTTTTCGCCCTATACAATTACTTTCAACCTTAGGTTCACAACTCGAGTGGACTCAAAGACCGGATGAAGAAACTGCGACAAAAGAAAAAGACAATTGTTTACACACTGACGCACGATTCTTTCTTTAGTTTTATGTTTCTATCGACTTTATCAGTTTTGTCGCGTCTGATAAAATTAACATATCAATTTCATTGGCTACAAATTAAGTTTGTTTTAAGCGAGTCCTACGTCCAAAATACATTCCTTTTACAAACACAAAGTAAGTCAAATCATCCATCCAATGGTATCTCCATCCATTTTATTCCATCCCCTGTTCTCTTTCTAAAAAATATTTATAATATATATACATTCATTTTCGACGAATCTTTACAGTAGGAAATCCTTTACATAAGAATATAGTTATATAAACCTGGATTTTTTAATCAAGCCAGCTGGTTACGTATCCCTACCCCGTTCAGTTACATAAATGCTACTAGTATCTGACAATCACCATAATCGAAAACGCTGTCTGGTACATAGGTGAGCTAGAGCTACCGACCAGATCAGGTGAATGCATTCTATTAATATGAGTCCTACTTATCGTTATAGTTCAGAAGCTGTACGTGAGGAACGTTTAACATTAACACCACAGGGAGAACGTACATTATACATGGATGGATTGAGTACACCCCCGAGTTCACATGGCAAGAATAGCTCCGTGCACTTGGAAGAAGCGTCATACGCGTTTTCACCATCGTCTAACGTGTTGTCGTCTGTGGGTGATTACTTGCACCCTACTGACGTGGGATTATCAACACCCAAGACACCTCAAGAGAGTGAGAGTGGTAATCGGAGTGGCTTTTCGCTTCCTACGTTATCACAGAATCACTCGAAGGATGGAGGTAAGAGATATCAACAATATGTACAGCGTCAATTACAATTGCCACCAATGTCACCTCATACGCGCAGTGCTGGTAAAACTGGTAGTCGAGGTCAAGGAGGAATGCAGAAACGTAGTCACACGTATGTGCAGCATGTCTCGAGAGAGACAGCGAGGGAATTGGCCAAGACGGCATTTAATATGCGCTCGACTTCAATTGGGGATTTTACATTTGAGGCCCCACATGAAGTCGTAGGCAGCACTCTACGGGAAAGCATTCGACGTGTAACGGCTTTTTCTAGACGAGAAACACCGCTGGACAGAGTACTTAATACGGTAGTGAGAGTGGGCCACCGTATGCGCAAAACTGAGCTGAGACTTGACCCGGAGATGCTCACGTGGTCAAGAGGCACGAAGGTACTTGGTGAGATGTTGACGGACGATGTTGTGGGTGCCGAAATTGTTGCCAAGAAGAAGGTGAACACGTTTCGTGTGCACTACTTCAAGAAGGGCCGTGGCACTGGAGCCAAGGCCTTGTTGCGCACACCTCAGTATGTGGATTTTCATTGTCTGGAGACCGAGGTAGTGGATAGTTGGGTTGGAGCTATTCAAGAGCTTGTGCGCTGGCAGGCTCGTGCGCCACCCATAGCAGAGAAACGGCTTTTGAAGGTGGTTGTGAACCCACACTCGGGAAAACGACAAGCACGACGAATTTGGGTGGATAAAGTGAAACCATTTCTGGATCTGGGCAACTTTAATTGTGTTGTCGAAGAAACAACGCACTATGGACATGGAGCTGAGATGGGTAAAAGCTACTCGGCTGATGATGGTTTTGAGGCTTTGATTTTCATTGGAGGCGATGGCACTCTATGCGAATTCATGAACGGACTGTTGACTCGTCCGGAGCATGAGTGGCGTGAGATTGTAGCTTCAACGCCAATTTCTCTTATTTCTGCGGGTACGCAGAATGCTTTTGGTACAGGAGCCGGTATTCCTACCGTGAATGCGGCTCTCTACTGCATCATGAAGCGCAAAATGCGCCCACTAGATGTCGTGACTGCTGTATCTGCTGCAAATCCTGACGTGGTGCACTACAGCTACTGTGGTCTTGGCTGGGGCGTGGCAGGCGATATTGCAGCCGAGTCAGAACGCTACCGTTGGATGGGTACGCTCCGCTATGCCTTTTTGAAGGTGAAGCGCACGGTGGCTCTGCCTAAAAAACACACTGGGCGAGTTCGGTACGTTCTGACGGAGCCACAACCACCACTACTTCGTTACGATGACTACCCGGACGCTGGTGCCTTGGACCAGTTCGAGGTGGAGGAAGGCACTGTGTACGATACGGACCGTTTCAGTACTCACCGCAAGTCGTGGGGCGGCATTGCTGGTAGCATTTTAAGCCCAGCGAGTCACAAGCGATATCCCGAGTTGTTGTGGAACGAAGATCGCAGCAGTTATGTGGTAGTGGGTGTCGTGAACATCACGCCTGATGGTGCCTACTCGCACCCTTCAGACGGCAACTTGGACTTAATTCTCACTCGTAAGGGTAGTCTGAGGCGGACCCTGAAGCTGTTTGTATTGTATGTCATGGGCAAGGAGCTGCAGAGCGATTTGGTTTCGTACCTAAAGGTGAAAGCCGTCGAGATCGAACCTGACGAGCCGACAGATTGCATGAATATTGACGGTGAAGTGCTTGAGGGAGGTCCATGGCGCATGGAAGTGGTGCCAAGTCTTTTTAAAGTGCTGTCCGAGAAGTAAGATGAAATCATTTGAGCATGAAACAAAACAGCACACAAGTGATTAAGGAAGGAGAGTTCCTCCATCACGTTTCGTTTTCTATTCTGCACGTATGTTGTAAATATATTGTTTGCATTTTTCACAAAGTTGAAGCCACTCCCACTTGTAAGTGAGTGAGTATATATATATATATATGTATGTATGTATCTCGATATAAACGTATGCCTACCTTATACTTATCTCTTTGATTCCCAATGTTTCTGTTTAATTCGTATCGTCATCCTGGTCGCCTGTGAAAGAACAGGAGAATTTCACAATGGCTCGACCAATGGCACCAATCCATTCATTCTTGTGCTTTTCATTCTCCGCATACATGTAATAAGTCGAGTCTGGTGTAGCTACTTCAAAGCAAAAACGCTTATTGGTCTTCTCTTCAGCTGATTTTACTGTTAAACAATCGGCAAGGTCAATAAGACCGTGTGCTGGTTCACCCTGTGCACGACAAAAATAAAGCTTATTGCCTTTTAGCACAAAATAGCGCTTACGCCATTCCTTGAGCCACATACTTCGCTTGGTCAGTTCACCCTCAAAGTCCGGATTTGATAAATCACAATGCGAGTAGTCGCCCTCCATAACTTTTCACTTGATCCCTATTTTGTAATTTGTTTGAGCCTCTCAATATTGGCGCTTCTTGATAATAAAGTCAGTGAATATTTCAGTCAGGTGAGAATGGATGAAATTGATGTGAACAACATCAGTTTACGAATACATGAACACATCAAGTGTACCCAAGTTGAAGTAGTTGCACACCCTTAGTTGTATTACTGCTAAACCGACAAAGACCGGTATTGACACAATAGTTTTGGAACAAGAAAGCACGATTGGAAGGATGAATTTGGATACATTGCATCACAATGAGCATATAGCTATCAGATTGTACGATGTAGTGGGTGGGTGGACACATTAACATCTGATTTTTTATCAACACGTAAGATCTGTTGAGGCCAGTGCAACAGGTGACTCGGATTTGCCAAGAGCTTTGATTTTACACGTATATAATAATTGAGATTACACGTTGGCAATGCGTTTGTCAATGCCTGTTTGTTTTAGCGAAAGACACATGATAAAAATGAAAGCAACAGCTTTATCATGTTGTTGCTGCTAGAAACGGATGTAGGTCAGGGTGATTATTGAATGAACCTTTGCATTTCATATCACTAGATTTGCACCAAAATGAATACGGTGGCAATGATTTATGCCATTGGCATCGCTATCAATTCAAGTCGTCAATGACGGCAACTGAGATTTACAGGCTCGACTTTTCAATCGTCGTTGCAACTTTGTCTTTCTCAAAGTGTATTGCCATAGGAAGGCAAGTTCTGATAATACATCCGCGTACTTGTCACAGAACGAGAACTTGATGAAGACCAACATTGACATGGCAGTTCATTCTGCAATTTCCTTTTGACATGCAGCTATGGCCATTGCTATATGTCGACCGCTACCTGCGCGCTTTACCGTAATTAGGCATCCTTTGTGCTTGGGGTTACGTCGAGACGGTGACGGCCTGCTCAATGGATTGTCTCGGGATTCAGCGTCTTCATGAACGACGTGGTGTTCCCGGTGACGTGCTATCGGTGACAGTGGGCAAGTGCACAACCAAGTTTGTCAGAGGGCTGCAGCAACAAAAAGATTGAAAACAGCAGCAGAAGAACAGCTAGTAGCGTGTTTAGAAGTGTTTAGTGCTGATACTTGACAATGCTACTTCTTTAGTATGTCGACGTCGACAAGATAGAGAATTGCGCACGAGATGTAGCTCTACACTCAAGAACCACGACCATTGACAGAGAAAGCGTAAATTAATCATCTTGTAGCTTAGCACAACAAGATGATAAAGCAACTACCATGGCAAGTGATAGCCATGTGTCGGGTGGCGACCGGAATACGCTTTCGATTGCGAAGCACTTCGAGCATCTGATCCGAGTTTACTCCCAACTGGACGATAAACACTGCACAGGCGATTGTATCATAAAGATATAATTTATCCTCAAGATATTGCCGTAGAAGAGCTGCAACTCAGTGGACGTTTCCTATGCATCATTCAGCAACTCGTTCAGCAACTCAGTGTACGCGCCGCATGCATTAATCATCTCTGAACAGTCGTCTGATACTTGATGGGGTCTCGAGTAGAATTTCACGAAACAGTAGCACGAACAAGCGCGTCATCGACAACAAATATCGAAACGCAGCTGTGTGACTGTAACGCACATACGAAATTGCTCGGTACGTCTACGCTGCGGCAGCATTGCGCGCACTTTTACGATAAACGTCATCCTATGGCACTCTGTTCGAATCGTTGGAGCGACAAAATGAATCTTTGGTCCATTTCTTAAACAGCGAGCGAAGAGTATTGCCAGTAAGTAGTAACGCATATTAGAAGAGAGCGATAACAAGCATAATGAAATGCAATTTCATGCTTTTCTTTCATATGAAGTCACTAAATCGTACAGATATCATAGAAGTCGCCATGTTAAAAGATTCATTGTATGCGGCTATATTTGTTAGAAACATTACACTATATTTATGTCGTCAGAATGGGAGGAGACTATGTAAAAAACATCGGTACAATCAAGTATGGCAATATCTCTTTTAACAAACATCAGTTGATACCGGTATCGATATCTTCTATATGGCCCAAACCGAGGCCTGTAACGGGACAAGCTGGCACTTACTCAGAACAATTTCCCAAAGAAGTACATTTTACTGTATTATTTTTACAAGCGCCAAGCCACTTGGAAGTCTATAGACGACCATCAGTTTAAAGAGGGTCAGCTATGAGCCCGACCTGTTGCTTTGTCGCAAAACATAATGTGTAGCGATGCGGTGATTTGTTTGATACTTTGAGTAACAGTTATAAGTATCCTAAATTACATACCCTCTCAAATCAGCTTTTATTACCTGTTTATGCAAGTCTATCGTATCCAACGATTTTGCTGAGATCGTTACCGTGTTCGCGATACATTGCCCGAGACAGGCGGCTGATTACTTGCACTGGATCCAATCGAATTCGATCATGTTCTTCAAAAAAGCCGCACGATCTTCTTCACGGCAGCAACGATAGCTGCTATGACATGAACGACTCCTGAGGCAGCCAGACAGATGCTCATGGTGATGCGTTAAACTGGTATTAAGATAGTAGGTGTTTGACTTACGCTCAGTAAGGACGGTTGGTCGTGGTAAAATATTAGAATAAAATATGCATTTTTTTTCACTATAAGAATATATTTTTTTCAATATTATTTTTTTTCAACTTTAAAACTAAACCAGAGATTTACCCTTCTCGGTCCTCTCGATCACGTTTTGGAACAAACGAGTTTTGAATTAGTCTTCTTCTGGCAAATTGCACCGTTTCTACGCAGTCCTAATTTTGTCAAAAATTGCGTGACTACAGTCGGTTGGCTCCAAATTTCTTTTTCTGGTACTGCGCCCTGTCGCCCAAGGTTTGAGAAGTCGGTATGCATCGTTATCATTATAAAGAAAGGCTGTTGTGTCATTTTTAGCTCTCGTAAAAGTCCATTCATGTGGATGGGCTTTTCTGAAATATAGTTATCCCCTCTACGTCTTTTTTGTATATCATAAACAGCAAATTGGTGTTCTTCAAGAATCTCGAAGGAAAGCTCAAAGTAATACCAGCTTGAGCTTAGTAATGAGTGTATACAAACCTCGAGGGTTTCAATGACATCAATAGGACCATCAGATAAATGAGTGCACCATTGCAATAAAGGTCGTGTTTTTTTCCAATATTAATTCGTCATCGATTCGTATTTCTAACACTGTAGCACTCCGTTTGCGAGCTTAATATAGCAATTCACAGAGTAAATAAAAATAAGATCGTCACATGTCTGAGCTATTTGTTTCTTTATCTTCATTGTCTTTTTTTCCATGAACGTCCGTTTCAATTAGACAAGAAGATATATAGACCTAATATATATTATATGTACACCTTTTGGTTGTCGGATGCGACCGGTGGTCGTTTATCCTTGTACCTTTGGTCCATGTTAATCATTTTCAAGAGGGAAAACGTTCTGGAATTCGATTGGCTTCGTCTCGAAACACTAATATGCGACTCGCAGTACGAAAGCTGCAACCTGAAGAACAACCAACCACCATCACCACAACCACCACCCCCAGTCAGTCAGTCAATCAATCAATTAGTCAGTCAGTAACTGAATCAAATTAGTATCGGTAAGCGATATGATCCGCTATGTCTCACCCTTTTTCTGGGGTTTCAATGCATAACCAGATCTCTTCTTGTTTATTTCATACACTTACGGTAGTTTCTCTCCAAAGAAGAAGAAGAAGAAGAAGAAGAAGAAGCACAAGCAGACGACAATTCTTCCAACAAGAATCAATAAACACAACAACAAGAACGAGCATGAGCTCAACAAGTTTAAACTTAACACCAACGACTATGACAAGTACAAGTGTTACAATCGCACCTACTTCACTTCCTAGTGTTACTTCTACAAGTACTAGTACGAGTACTAGTAATACTAGTAACACTAGTTTGGATACTAGTGGTAAAATCCAACAACAAAGTAGCAAGAGTGAAAGTAATAGCCCCATGCGACGACTACCGACTGTACTACGTGGTCCAACTGGATCTTCTAGTACTTCAAATGCAAATACATCAACACCAACAACAACAACAGCAGCAGCAGTAGTATCCAATACGACAACGACACGATCACAGACACAACAAAATCCAGTACCGTCAACTTCAAGTCTAGGACAAAATCCAACAAGTTTATCCACCACATCTAATCGGATTTTATCTGGTATGGATATGGACCGACGTCATTTGTATCCACCTCAATCACTTACAAGATCGTATAATGGAAGTAATGGTCCATCCTCACCACCCATGCAGATGCAACCTCCATATTTTGGTAATATAGACGGTGGTCGTGTAACAGCAAGACCGTTGTCCTACAACCACAACCATCATTCTCCAGTGTCATCACCAGCTATGGCAGGTGAATCCTGGGCACAGAACGCACCTGCTGGCAGTGGGATGGCTACACGTGGTCTGAAGCGCCACTTGCCGCAGCAATACGACGGACTTATATACGATGGCTATGAAGGAGGACCAGGCACACGACTACCGCAACAGAAGGCTGCTAGTTCTACTAGCACACCATCTACGATCATGTCTCGTCGTGGACCCAGCAGTCTTAAAGGTACAATCGCGTCTGCCAGCAATAACAACAGCACGACACGTCTTCGCACAGCGCAGATGCAGCAGATGTACGGAGCACCACCAAGTGAAGATCCAATGCAGTACGAGCCGCTGGGTGAAGCACGTCACCCGCGAGACAGCACAAGATACGAGACCTGGACATCCAAGCAGCTCCGCAAAAAGTGTTCGCACCTTAAACTGCGTGGGCTGAAAAATGTAAAGAAGCACGTGATGGTGGAGGCATTGTACCGTTATTATCGCAACCAGCGCCTTAAAGACATGGCTGACGCTGCCAGCGCCGACATTAACAACAGTAAAGGTGGTGTGTCATCAAGACAGCAGATTTTATCACCGCAGCAGCAGCGCCGAATGGAAGCGCGTCGTCCATCCAATATTAGTGCAGAATCACACTCCGACATGCAGTATCGCTCGCGATTTGACCAGCGTAGTGTTGGTCCGTCGTCGCAGTCACAATATGGCTCCTCACGATCTCGGAGCTATGCCAACTACGGTAGCCAGAGCCCATCGCCACCGTCAAGCGGTGGAGATAGCGGTGGCTCGCACCCCCAGCGCACGGGCACCTCGAAGCCATTGGACAGTGGATATTATCTTGATGAAGAAGCGAAGGCGGAATCGCAGTACAAGGAAGTGCCAGTGACGTCAGAAGACGTGATTCGCCTGGTGGACGTGGTGCTCTCTCCCGAGTTTGTTGACCGACTGGCGGCTGAGCTATCGCGCTGGCAATTTTGGGTAGATGTGCGTGAGATGTACATTGCACTACTAAGTCGGCAGCATCCACCGGGATCAGCAGGAGCAAGTGGCAATGCAGGTACTGGAGGCAGTGCGACAAATTCGCGCAATTTCAAATGGAGTAGCATGCAGCTGTGGGAGATCTGGAAAGAGCTTACGTTTGCGTATACGAAGACGTGCTTCGAGTTTACCACTGCTGGTATGGACAAGAGTGAGCATAACTGCATATCGCTTCTATCTGCTGGGGGTCAAAGCTATTCTCGCTGCCGAAATCATGTTTTGAGCAGAGAAAGTGGGCACCCCGCTGTGAGATGCGGCAACACGAACAGCAGTTTGCACCAAGCTTTTGTACTAACTTTCTGTTTATCTTGTCCTTTTTGTAGGAGTGGAAGACCGGGAATATATTAACTTTTGCGATGGCAGACCAGACGTGTATTACCTACACCAGCGATTGCATGCTCGACCAGATCTATTGCATTTGATCAAGTCGAACGAATACATTGACGAAAAGTGTACCAGCGATGCGTCCGAGTCTATTGCACATGAACAGCAGCAAGCCCAGCAGAAGCAACAAACTGGGCCTTTGATCGGATCGGGATGTCCTATGCTGCGCAACCACAAGCGCTACAAACGATCAATCCCGACTGGTCCAGCGTCAGATGCGTACAACAGTGCGCGTGCTATTGCAGCCTTTCGTGACGGCGCTGCGGGGACCGATGAAACTCGTGCAGCCAGTGGAGGAAATAGTGGCGACAATGGGTCTGGCCAAGGTAGTGGTGACTCGCGTGGTCATTCACCAGAAGAGAATAGTACGGAGAATTCGGAGACGACTGGTGAAGAAGGCAGTAGCAGCAATACTGCCAATTCGAACGCGAGCAACAGTTCACAAGATGTGTCGATGCGTGCTGCTCTAGCAGAGCAGAAATATTTTGGACTATTGCTGCAGAATTTTGAGGTGATTTTTGAGTCTTTGCACAACAAGAAGGTGCTACTGGCAACTCTACGTAAAGACAGCAAGGCTCCGGATCATTTGATAGCTGACTTGCATGATGACATTCACGTATTATCGGCGCTTAAGAAGGAATTTCGCAATAAGCTGCGGCGTACGATGCAGTGAGATATATGGACGACTCAAGCAGTGCAACTCGACAGCTTGTGACGATGTCCATCGTAATGAAAGGAAGTCGGCTGGAAGTGCTGAAAAAATGTGCAAGTTTGTGTAAATAATGCATACCGTGAATATGCGGTGAGCGAGTGAGAAGGTTTTGAGAGGTGTTGAAACGTAGTGACGGCTATTTATCAATTAAAACAGTGCGAGATCGAGATTGTCTTTGAGGCAGTTTAACGTTGCTGCCATTTGTAACTAGCCAATTCAACACTAAGTATAAGCAGAATTGTCTGCCAAGCTCCATTGTTGTGGGTTGGTTATGTAGTTGCAATATGTCCATATATAGTGAAGGAAAGAATTGCTTAGTAAACAGGACTTCCTGCCACTGCAAATCATTGACAGCCTTATCATTGAGACGGCATATGACAAGAACACCAAATGTCCTGTCAATTACAATGCTACTCTCAAGATCCCTTACGAGTGTAATGGATTCGAGAGTCGTGACTTGTCAACAAATCTAGTACAAACAAGTCTTCGCTCATATTGATGTACACACAGCAATAAAGAGAGTCTCTTTACACGTCCTAAGTGCTGGTAGAACGATGCAAAGTAGACAAGTATCCTGATTATGGCAATGCCGATCAGACAAGCGCGTGGAGCAGTCGAGCATCAAAGACCGGTACGATCAAGGCAAATGGCGTGACATTAGAAAAATATCAGCGATAACATAGACCTCTCACCTGGAATAAACAGCAATGGAAGCTATGTAAACCCCAGTATAATCTCTCACACAAGCCAGCAATCAGATACGATGAGACTGCATGTTGCAAAGAACGATGTTCCTCATTTTCAATCCCTATATAAAGCCCATTGACACAAGCTAAGTACAAGCTGGTACGTCTTCGATTGCAGCGTTGCACACTGCTTGTAATCATCATCTCAAAAAGAGCAAAGGAGACATGAGTCAACAAATGGTCATGAAGCGTCCTTCTCAAATGAATTCTCAATTGGTTATCAGCTGCTGATACTAGACAAACGTCCTATTCAATCATTTTATAGACCATAGAGTGATAACCAAGAACGAACTCACACCAATGCTACCAAACGTCCAAGGTAGCAAACAGCTATTCAGAAAACCTTATCCATGCAAGTATCATTTCTGCTTATAGACCAAGCTTAGTGCGACGCCAGTGACGACGCTTGGCATTGTACCTAATAGTGATAACAATAGAGAGAAAAATTCCATGTTAGAAGATCAATCCCCTATATAAGAATAGATGAGCAAAATGGAACACGTACTTGATTGTATTGTCAGTACGAAGACGAATCCACTGTGGAATTGGACGATTTTGCTTGGCCTTCTTGGCAAGAATACGCTTTGTACGGAAAGTCTTGTGCGATGGCTAGACCAAGTATAATTAATTAGAGAGAATCCACAAGTTAATGCTCAGCAAATCAAGTAGAAAAATGTATTTTAGCAGCTTTTTGAGCGCAGGTAGACATGAAAATACATCTAAGTGATGCACAATGTAAAAAGGAAGTGGCAAAGTATGGCAATACCCTGCTACTTGCTTTATTCAACAACATCAAGCCCTTGATCAGATCAATAGACTGTTAAGTACGCACCATTTTGGAAGGAAATTATTCGGACTGACACGCTACTACAACGAGTCAAACACAGCGTTGGGCTGTCAACCAGTCAATTTGGAGACACGAGTAATTACGACTGATACATGACAATTACAGGATGTGTGGTGCACATCATACCCACCATGATTCATTTTGGCTTCATGGTCGCCAAAATAGGATAATCTACGTCTGATTTTTCTTAATGGATAGCCAGTCAATGATAAGCTGCAGCACACTTTGTCACAAAACGCAACTATCCACGGTAATTTATCAAAAACTTGTGTTTTTGTCACAAAAATCCAGTTTTTTACCGACACAAAAAAACGTATATAACTCATTCCTTCCAAAAAGTGTACCCATGAATTCAGATACGGAGCTTTTGAATGATGATAATACCTTATTATCAAATGTAGCCACACGGAATCATCAAGCAGGCCACGACACCACTACTCTTTCTACCTTTTCCATCACTCCATCGTCACCTCAATCGCCACTAGACCCTATGCGTGAAGATACAATTGATATCGCTTTAATAGCGTCAAAATCGCCCTTAAAATCGGCTCTTCGAAAGCCCAATAGTCCACAGAACCCTTTGAAACTCACTCGACGAGTCTCAATTGAACAGAGTGAGACAAGACCACAGCAAGATCATGTACATGCGTCACCACAACATTCAATTGAGTCACCACGTTTGGTACTACACGATTCGACAAAGAATCTACGGTTTCAACGCACACGAAACGATCATAGCAAGACATCAACACAAAGTTCCTTTGCTATGCGGGACACGATCCTTTCTCGTATGTCGTCAAATGTGAATGGTTTGAGAGAGAGTTTCTTTGGAGCAATTGTTGGACGAGGTCCACCAGTAAATGATCCTTTAGAGCTTTCATCGAATCAAGAGTTTGATCTTGATATTATTGATGAAAGTGGTGGCATGAATGAGAATATTGGTCAAATCTTGAAACCCCAAGTCGACTTTACGAATTGGTCAAATGAAGGTTACATGGTACTTGGTTTTGGTCTCGTGCTATTACTGCTCATGTTTGTATTGGCACAAACAACCGACTCTCTCAACGGCTACGTTATCGATCCAGGTCTTGTATTCGGATCGCTCGTCACTCTAATTCTTTGTGTCTGTGTTTTTGTAACGTACCATGGCGTCCAGAGCTTCCAAAAGCATCCAAACCCGCTTATTTACTACAAATGCGTCATTGATATCCTACTAGCACTTCGGTTTCTACTGGATCCGTTGCTACTGAAAATGAAAGTGTACCGAGTAAACGACGAGACCTCATGTGTCTACCTCTCAGGCATCACGCAATTTTTGTATCTGTCTAGTGATAGCTGGTTCTTTGCTCTAATTGTAGACTTGTACTGGTCACTTACAAACCCATTCATGAGCGTCAAGGCCAATCGCAGAAGGTTCAAGATCTTTGTGTACACGGCTGGAGCATTTACAGGCATTTTTGCGGCCTTTGTGCCGGGTATTCGAGGCTTTGCGGACGGGAAATATTGCTGGACAAAACGGAAAACTACCGATGACTCAGTGGAACGAAACTTTTTCAACCTGAATAGGGGCAGTTGGATGCTCTTTTACACGTGGATGATGTTGTTCTACATTTCGGGCATCGCGGTGCTGACTTTCGGAATCAAGCGACTCCGTTCCGGGCTGCGGGATACACTGCAAAGTCGGCGCGAGATGCTACGAAACGGCGCGCTGTCGATTACAAGCTACACCATTTACTGGACTATTGTTTTCATTTGGTACGCTCTGTCCTTTCGGACACGTTCAACCTACGATAAGAACGGTCATTTTCCGCCTAGTCATGTTTTCCGAGCTTATACTTACACGCTATCGGCACGTGGTGCTATTGACTATTTTTTGTGGTTCATGATCAATCGACCAAGTCTGATACGGCAAAATTGGCTCAAGTTCACGTCCGATTCAGCGGACAGGCAATTCAGCGCGCAACTCAATACTTCACTACAGGAAGAACTAATCTACTTTACCATTGAGGGAATGACACGTGCCGTGCAAATTGCCGAAGATGATCTTAGTCGTATTCACGATCTGTCTCAAACACATGAAGTTGTATTGGGTACGAGTGACGAGGAGAACGACAGGGAGTCGACGCAGGATCTCGCTGAAGCTGCAACAACCGCTACAGGTCCTTCCGGATCAGCAAGCAGCAAGAATTTGCTTCGAAGTGGGCAGAGAAACCGGATGCTTAACAGCATACAGAAGGTCATTAACGCTGGGCTTCGTCGTAACAGCAGTGTTAATGCGGAAATGCGAGCTGGAAAGAAGAAGAACAGCAAGGAACGCGACTTCAGTTTTAACATTCCTGCAGATCAACGCTCGATCCATCAACCACCTAACGCTGACCGTCGTGGTAAGAATCCTTCGTCTGCTCCAATGGCTGCGACATCAGTAGATCCACGATCGTCGTTTCCTGTTGCAGGTACGACGACAGCGTCTATTCGATTTACGCCGTATAAGCCGCAGGCTTTCGCTGAACTTCGCCAGGCTTACGGGATTAAGGCAGTCGATTTCATGACGTCTTTTCGGACCAGTACAAAGCCCAATATCAGTGAAGGTGCGAGTGGTGCGTTCATGTTTTTCAGTGGTGACAAAAAATACATCGTGAAATCTATGGCTGAAGAGGAAGCACGCTTCCTGTGCAAAATCGCAGAAAAGTACGCTGAATATCTGACTCTGAACCCATCCTCGCTCATCACGAAGTTTTACGGCTGTTTCAAGATTACCATGTACGACAAACGTTTCTACTTCATCGTTATGGAAAATCTGTTTGATGTGATGGAGGAAGGCGTGCAGATCCATCACCGTTTTGACATCAAGGGCTCCTGGGTGAATCGAAGTTACAAGCGACCGCGACGAGGAGCCAAGGTCAAGTGCCGGCATTGTTCGATGATGTTCAAGTATGATGCTAAGAAGGCATTGCTACAGTGCCCCAATGTCGTCGGACTTCATGAGCCAAATGTGGTGTTGAAAGACAACGACTTGCGTACAAGGATGCGGATTGGTACGGAAGAAGGAGTCGAGCTGTTTGAGCAGTTGCGCGATGACTCATTATTCCTCTGTGACCTCGGAATTATGGATTACAGTCTTCTCCTTGGTGTTATGGACATTGAATTTGCTGTGGATCAACCTACCAGACCACCGACAAGTTCCATCTTGGGTAGCCACACGGTTGCAGACACGGCCACTAACTCGTCTACCAACAGTCTCACTAATGACAGCTACATATCTGCAACATCGTCCAACTGGTCGTCGTCTTTGGGAAGTCCTGCAAGTGAATCATCGGTAAACAGACAGAATGATCAGCACGACGATGAATCGATCGTGAACATCCCGCGCAAGTTGGTCATGAGTGTGACACCAAGTGTGCATTCGCTATTTCAGCAGCATGGCAACCCATTAAACGAGTCACGATACCCGTATATAGGTGGAGAGCCTCGACCAAAGCGTTCAATGCGAAAAAGCCAACGTGTATTTGGTCCAGGTTACTATTACGTTGGCATTATTGATATCTTACAGACATGGACGCTACAGAAACAGCTTGAGCGGTTCTTAAAGGTAAACATCCAGCAAAAGGATGGTGAAGGACTATCAGCAATTGATCCAATACAATATCAGCAACGATTCGAGTCCAAGTTACGTGAAATCATTGCAATCCCAAAGGAATATTACCATCAGCAGCGACGCAATCAGCCAAAGAAGGAAACTATAGTTGAATCGATCCAGCGTCTTAGTCCCGTTCTCCAGGCCGCTGCTGCATTCGAAAGTGCAGCAGCTGCGCAAAAAGCAAGACGTAATTTAATCCGTGTTCGACGTGACGTGATTGGCACGATCACGTCTAACTCTTCATTATCAAGTACAGGTGATAATGAAGATTTGGAACAAGCTGGAAGAAACCCACAGCCAATCTTGTTACCATTCAATCAACGATTAATGACAACGAACTCATCCAGGAGTCAGTTTAGTCTAACAGATTGTGCCGTCTAAAGAGCTCTTGGATTACTGATCATACTAATGAATGAATACAATATGGAATTGAGAAGCTATTGGTTCATTAAGAGGTGTGCATCAGGAGTAATTTAAATGCTCTAGAGAGTCAGACAAATAGATGTATGAAGAAGTAACTATAGAGAGCAAAAAAAAGACATCAATGTTGGTAATATATATCGTTCTTGACGACAACCAGCCGTTTTTTCTGTCACGAACAGCCAGTCTAAAAGGTCCAAAGTCCTGTGCTGACTATACATATGCAAGTCCAAAAGAATAAACTGCCAACGAAGATATTTTTTGGCTTACAAACTGTTATGTCAAAAAAAGCAGGTTGTTACATGAAGATAAAATCACCCTCTTTTATTTCCATTTCTGATTTGTAACATTTCTTCCATCTGGTTTAAGAGGGTTTGCGTAGCAAGATAGCCGACTACTAGAAAATCGTTATGTTTTTTAATTGAATTTCACCACCACCTGGTAAAAACGGCTTTACTTGTTTTTTTACGTTTTCTTTCCAACACTAAAAAACCAGTTGTTTGGATTCTAACTTCCTCTTTCTTGTGTTCTATCGACCTTCCGTCAAAACAACCAACAAACCCAACCAGTCAACAACAAAAACAGTATATCGAAAACTGCGTATACGGTGTTAATGTCCACAGACCAGACCGACGTTGTGCTGTCTTGGACCGAACAAGTTCATCTAAAGACATTCTTTCCACCCATTCATTCCATTCAAAACGATCAACCCTCTCGTTCTCGTGGTCTTAGTAGTGTCAGTGACGTGGTAGCTCGATCGATTCGACGTCGAGGCGTTTCGATAGCACGTTCTCAATCTGGAATCACGACCATGTCAATTCATCGAAAGCGTAAAGTAACTTTTAAAAACATGTATACACCTGATGTCGTTCCACCACCAAAGGTCGAGAGTTATGATGAATTGGTGTTTAATGTGGCTGGTTTATTTCATACAACGTCTTTCTTACATGATCCAGAAGATTGGGGTGATGAAGACCCGATTGAAAAAAGTCTGGCATCATCGGATGAAGACTTTTGTGATCCAGAACCACCATTGGAACGATCAATTCCACTCATGATTGCTGAATTTCTTTATCGATCGGCCATATTCTTAGGATATCCACAAGGGGATACACCATGGTTACCAGGATTTCGACAAGACAAGAAATTTTCAAGTAATGACGTGAAGCGTTGGCGACGTCTTGCACATTTTGACTGGGAAGCAGAAGAGAAGGAATTCTTGAAACATCATCCACCAAGATTAGCACGTACTGATTCAGTAGAGTCAAATGGTCATACGTCCGTCATGTCGACGATTGGCACAAGCTTTCGATTGCAAAATCAACAGGACAGTGTTGATTCAGACTCGAGTAGTCGGAGTCAAGACAGTCAAGTGTCGGGAAAGATGAAGTTTCGAAGCGCTGTGACGGGCTGGGTTCGCAAACACCAGCGGCAGCACACTCAGGAGCAGGATAGCACTAATGATGCAGCAAAACACGAGCTTGAATCCAATAATGCTGATGAGACGAAGAGACATGGCAAACACAAACCCGTGTCGTGGCTTAATCCACCGCCGATCTCGTCGTCTCGAAGTTTGCGACTGCTTGTGGACATTATCAATTCGTGCATATATTGTGGTCAATTCCAGTTTCGGAAGCGCGATATTGTTCGTCTTTGCAATGTCAAGATTTAAACGCAAGAGCGCTTTACACATAAGAAGTCAAGCGACTTTATGCGTTTTGATTGAATATTTGCTTCTGACGAAGGAAGACAGGAGGAATCGCCAGCTACAGTAACCAAGAGTTTAGTAGTGTAAACAGTCTAATGGTCAAACAATAACATCTTGTCCGTATTGCAGTAGCTTGAACTCGTTTACATGTTTCGTATCTCTCATACCTACTCTCTTTAATAAATTGACTGAGATTAATCGGAAATTAGACTTTTACATAGATCTACATCCTGTTCAATTGACCTGTATTAGAGCTATAAGAACTCAGCTTCACCTTAATATTTCATAATCATGAAACACTTTGTGTTGCTTCCAAGCTGTGCAACTGTTCGACGCTATCAGCTTTCGATCATTATGCATGGCATATTACTAATTACTCGGCTTTCTCGTCGTTCCAATGTCTTCTGAGGACGTGATATTCTCAATACGCCAATCAACTTCATCCGGGTTCGAAACACGCGACTCCGAAATGCCACTCGGTATACATTTTAGGGCTGTATGTAACGTCTTCTTTCCACACAATACACAACCTTCAAGTCTTCCACAATTGCAACGTCTACATTGAGTTGCAAATACTCAATTAAATCATTGGAAAAAATGGCTTACAGCATTATCAAAGGGTCAATTGAAGAGGAGGTAGATGTATAAAAGTGAGGTTAGTTTTACAACATGCAAACTTGAAGGTATGGTCAGATCGCGTCATGAACGGCAGGATTACTGTGTTCATATGGCAATCTTAAGCAAGCACTTCACATACAGCTTCATATTGGATCAATTTGAGTATGACATTTTGTGCTTTCATGTATTCATTAGAGAATCTATATGCGGGACATGTCACGATGGTGTATTCAGTAAGTTAATTGCATTCTCTCTGTATTCCTACGGCTGCACATGTTGCCTTTTTGCTAAGAGCATGAAAGCCTTTAACTACCTCAAACTTGCACACTTCTTCTGTCTGCTGTATGTGCATTTTACTATTCAACCTAACATTACTAATACGCATCATGCTAAGTCTCGTCAAAAGACAAAGTTAGATGCAAGAATATTCAAAAGCAAGAGTTTATTTTGAAGCAGATGTCAGTATCACTCTTGAACAAGCGGCATCTCAACTTAAGGCCACTTTTGTCATCAAAGCCATGCCTATTTGGCTTTAGTGACAGAGTTGATCCACGCTACCGCGGACGACACACGCGCGTAAATGGTGGGCAAACCCGGTCGCGACAGTCGCCGTTTAAATTGCCGCTAACCCAACCCATCAGAACATCTCCGCTGTCTTTGCCATCATACTTGTTTTCCGCATCACCGCTGTTTTTGACATCATTATAGCTGTCTTTGTAATCATAGCTGTCGTTGTCATCATCAATGTCTTTGACATCACCCATGTCTTTGACATCACCCATGTCTTTGTGGTCATCGCTGCTGTTGTTGGACTTTGTCTTGATCAATGAAGTACCCATGTCGTCCGCGCAAAGATACTCGCCTTTCACACCACGAACGCAAACGTCGGACGCATCGATAGAAACATAATTCAAATCAAGCATTTCGAAGCCGTCACTGAAAAACGCCTTACGACACGCTTCATTGGTAATCATTTGCCGACTCAGTTGTTGCAGATTAACAAATAAAGCCTCAACGTGCCTAGTACTCCAAGCCAATGCGTGTGCCCACATACCACTTACAATATCCGAACCATCAGATGCCGGAAGCGTTATTGGTGCGTACTTGCTACGTTTTTCCAGTGTCAACACGACAAAGTCGTTTGCAGAAGTCGCATCTTTATATCTCGGCTGTTTTGTGATGTCTATGACCTTTACGTCGTCACTTGCGTCTCTGGAATGATAATTCGCACCAACCGACACATAAATACCACCCAATGCCCATCTAGTGCACGATGACGTTGTCAGGACATGCGTGAAGGTGTGAGAACACCCACAACGTTGGGCACCATCAAACTTGACGGGAACTGTAGCCGAGCTACTGTAGCCAAGCTACTTATTCACTATGTGCAGTGAAAGACAAGCTCCAAGAGCTTATATGGCTTAGGGTCCTTAACCCTCCTAGGCTATCTCGCATTCTTGTGCCTATCGGTTGTCACAACCGGGCCTCAAAGAGACTAGTATCAAAGATATTGATTCCTTAGAAGGAAGAGAACGCTTAAGCAGTGATGCTTACAAAGCAGGTTTGAAACTGATTTATATTTATGTTTATCTTCTAACACTAAATATAGAAGCACCTACTCTATACTTAGTGCTAGTCACTATTTACTGGCTCTATAGCCTATTATTATTATGCAAACATGTATAGTCACTATAATAAACTAAGTATAGTGACCACGTGGCACGATGCGACCCTTCGTACTTCAGGTATGGTCACATCGAGCCTATTTTTGTATCCAAGGTACAGCCACACCACATTGGTGTGGCAGGTGTGTATTTTACATACACACCTTCGTGTAGCCCCGTTGCACTCCCCCACCAATCCGTGGGACCCAACGTACCCACAATTTTTTGCACTTAATGGGAGGTATCGATTTTATTTTCTTCCCATTTTGCTTGCCTTGCAATAAGTGCCTCGCACTTGCGAACAAAGCTTTAGAGTTCTCACCCTTGAGCACTCGCGCTTTGCACTCACGCTTACAAGCATCCTAGTGTTATGACACTCGCTCCTTGAGCATACAGTGCATTGCACTCACGCTAAAGCATTTAGTGTTACGACACTTTCTTATAAGCGTTAAGTGCCAAGCACTTGGTAATAATACCCTTATGTGTTTAAAAACACTTGCTTTTACAGCATTAAGCCCGCCCGGCCCTCCCCCCCCTTTGGTCCCTCGTTGGTAGACCCTGGTCTTTCAAGGCCGACCCTGGACCCTCGTTGGTAGACCGTGGTCTTTTGTGGTGGACCCTGGTCCCTCGGTCACCCAGCCCCTCGGTCCCTCGACAAGCAGAATCAAGAATCAGGTCTCGGGGGTAAGGATAGAGTAAAGAAGTTAAAAGATAGGACATACTACTTAATTTGCGATCTATATAATATAGCACACCTCCGTCGTGCTTCCAAGGTACCTACTAAGTCTACCCACCTGTTCCGAGAAGAGATACATTTTGGCCCCCCGTCGAAGACAGTTATGTGGTAAGACCCAAGTGCGAATAGAACCCCAGGATATATTTGGCCTGTGGGTTCGCCCGAGTAGCACCCCCCCCACACACTCGACCCGCTATCGGAAGCGGTCTCTATACCTTAGTGGTCCGGGAGCAAGTAAAGGCCAGGCGGCTAATACCTCCGAGATATCAAGGAAGGAAAAGGCCAGGGTTGAGAATCTTCCCTAAAATAATTTGGTTATAAGTCCACCCTCGACCTAGTCGACCGAGTGGCCACCTACTAGCCTACCGAGTGAAGTATATCCACCCGTGGCATCCCTAGGTCGACCTCTCTCAAGGCCGACATCACATCTCAACCAAGTCCTCCAAAGAGTGCAACCCGCCAGCCGACGTATACACAAGGTGAGAGAAGAACAATATGCGGCATCGGGGTGCCCCATCCGACAGTCGTCAGTCCGACACAGTGAGTGGTTTGGGGTCTCATTACGCCGCTTTGAGAACCCACACCACCACAGTACAACAAGACGAAGGTGCTGGTGCGCGCTTGATCCCCAGAGATCCATAGGCAGTGGGTGGCCTCCCAAATCGCTTGGCTGTGATCTTCGTCAAAACGCATGTAGGCCGCCTCCAGTTCCGCGGACCAGCCCACTGGCTGGAAAGACACAGGTGGGGTGGAGCCTTGTGCCAACAGCCATGGTTGGGTGACTAGGAGGATCTTGAGCATTGAAGAGCTGATCAAGCGACGGTTTTCACTTGGACGGTTGATCGACCTTCCCATCTGGCGGACCGAACAAGCCCCAAGGCAGCTCCAGGCGGTCGACCAAGTCGCTTGGGGTCATCGTCACGATACTCAACGAGTTGACGTGGTTGACCGACCAAGGCGCTACCTCCGCAGCAGTGAACGATTTCACCTGCATATACCCAGGGATGAAGTCACCTTTTGGAAGTGTAGGTGACTCACCTGGGGCGGAGTCCGCTTGGCGACTGTAGCGGGGGCCTTCTATTCCGAAACCGACTCGATCTCTGAGTTAGAAGATCCGAACATGGCCCGGAACAATGTTGGACCCGGAAGAGTAACAGGTTGTGGAACATAAGCGGCCGAGGCAGCTGAGGTTGATGGATTGGTTGGCGCGGAGCGTCACCGGAAAGATCGCGACCAATCTAAGGTCGCCCGGACCACCGCGCGTCGTCGACCGGGTCAGGTGAAGGAGCCGAAGGCAGATCAGGGAAGGTCCCCGGCTTGAGAGCTGACGAAGCGGGATTGCTGGTTGTACTCGACTTGGTAGCCTTGGAGACCTTGGCGGTCGTCTTAGCCGATGGGTACCGAGGCCGCTTGCCTGACACCGGTGTAGGAGGCATTGTGGGGGGTAGTCACGGGAGAAACCACGGGATCCTTGAGTAAAAGCGACATAATCTTCGTGCTCCAACTCTGTTACCATGAGAGAGTATTGGCTCTGGCGGTAGTCAATTTGCCATCGCAGGTGATCCACCAGCGCTCTCTCATGCTGAAGCCCCTCTCGCAACTGGACCACGAGGTTTTTGGTGTCTAGCACCTCACTCTCGAGGCGCTCACACCAGGTGGTCCACTAGGCGTCGGTGGAGGGGACGGGACGGGAGTTGGTCGACCCTCTCACGCCTCAAGTCTACGACCATACGCGCTTAGGCGGGCCTGTAGGTCGCGCAGAACCTGATGCACATCATTGCGTCCACTCAGCCGGAGGGTCAATTGACGGGGTGATGGGCGGGACACAAGCAACCGACAGACTCACGGGGTCACATTAGCAGAGGAGCTGGAGGTAGACCAAGAGTCATCCACGAATGGTGGACTCTCATCACCTACGACTACAGAAGAAACCGTCGTGGATTCCCCTGGTCCTGGCACCTGGAGAAAAGTGCCAATCGGCAGTGGGAACCTGGACCTCTGGGTCAGTAGCGAGTGCAGTAGTGGGTCCACCTCGAAAAACCGGTTCCTCAGGTGGTGGATCTACCTCAGAGAAAGGAGCAGCTAAGGTCACATCACGTCAGATAACCGATATTAAACGCCAACAAGCTATGAGTACTTACGGGATGCAGGAGTCGAAGACATGCGCGTGTTCAAGCGGCTGTACGGTTGACCAAGTGCAGAGGGCGGCTGTGGTGAAACGTTTGAAGAACTGGGAAACCAGAGAACCAGTGGGCCAAAGAGAAAGGAACTTGCCAAGGAGGAGCGACCGTTGGGTAAGAGACAGAGAGAAGGGGCTCTAAAGGGGAAGAAGAACAACCGTTGGATGAGAAGAGTTCACGGTCACAGCCCGCTAATTGGCCACCTCGGTAAGAGGTTAACCGCGATTAGCCCGATGTACCGCGGTTTCTCGAGGTGGACCCACTACTGCACTCGCTACTGACCCAGAGGTCCAGGTTCCCACTGCCGATTGGCACTTTTCTCCAGGTGCCAGGACCAGGGGAATCCACGACGGTTTCTTCTGTAGTCGTAGGTGATGAGAGTCCACCATTCGTGGATGACTCTTGGTCTACCTCCAGCTCCTCTGCTAATGTGACCCCGTGAGTCTGTCGGTCGCTTGTGTCCCGCCCATCACCCCGTCAATTGACCCTCCGGCTGAGTGGACGCAATGATGTGCATCAGGTTCTGCGCGACCTACAGGCCCGCCTAAGCGCGTATGGTCGTAGACTTGAGGCGTGAGAGGGTCGACCAACTCCCGTCCCGTCCCCTCCACCGACGCCTAGTGGACCACCTGGTGTGAGCGCCTCGAGAGTGAGGTGCTAGACACCAAAAACCTCGTGGTCCAGTTGCGAGAGGGGCTTCAGCATGAGAGAGCGCTGGTGGATCACCTGCGATGGCAAATTGACTACCGCCAGAGCCAATACTCTCTCATGGTAACAGAGTTGGAGCACGAAGATTATGTCGCTTTTACTCAAGGATCCCGTGGTTTCTCCCGTGACTACCCCCACAATGCCTCCTACACCGGTGTCAGGCAAGCGGCCTCGGTACCCATCGGCTAAGACGACCGCCAAGGTCTCCAAGGCTACCAAGTCGAGTACAACCAGCAATCCCGCTTCGTCAGCTCTCAAGCCGGGGACCTTCCCTGATCTGCCTTCGGCTCCTTCACCTGACCCGGTCGACGACGCGCGGTGGTCCGGGCGACCTTAGATTGGTCGCGATCTTTCCGGTGACGCTCCGCGCCAACCAATCCATCAACCTCAGCTGCCTCGGCCGCTTATGTTCCACAACCTGTTACTCTTCCGGGTCCAACATTGTTCCGGGCCATGTTCGGATCTTCTAACTCAGAGATCGAGTCGGTTTCGGAATAGAAGGCCCCCGCTACAGTCGCCAAGCGGACTCCGCCCCAGGTGAGTCACCTACACTTCCAAAAGGTGACTTCATCCCTGGGTATATGCAGGTGAAATCGTTCACTGCTGCGGAGGTAGCGCCTTGGTCGGTCAACCACGTCAACTCGTTGAGTATCGTGACGATGACCCCAAGCGACTTGGTCGACCGCCTGGAGCTGCCTTGGGGCTTGTTCGGTCCGCCAGATGGGAAGGTCGATCAACCGTCCAAGTGAAAACCGTCGCTTGAT